AAGGCTGCCCGGGAGAGCTGCGGGAGCAACGGCGGCGCCGCCGCTGTGCCACTGCGCCCTAGGCCCTGCTCATCTTGCATCACCCCGTCTACTCGGTGTTTCCAGGGCGCCTGTCACCTCAGCATCGCTCGGACCCTCAGAGCATCTTTAGCCTTCCCTGTACCTGTCACAAAGCGATGTTGCTGTGCTGAGTTACACTAATGAAGCTAGTGTGTACGGCGCTTGAAAACGGTCAAAATACTCAAATACTGCTAATGCCTAAAAATGCTGCTAAATAGAAGGGCAAGTGAAAACAAACCCAGACAAGCACTGAGGATGGCCCAGTGATTAGGCTCTGAAGACCCATGCAAACTTACGTGTTGCCTTTGGCTCCTCCACAACCCCTCTCTTTGCCCAAGTCCCACAGGATGCTCCGCAATCTTGCTGCAACAGTTTGAGCTGCTGTCATCTTAGCCACTCTTTCGCCAGAGACTCCCGGCCCCAGAGCAACGGCAGCGTGAGGAAATGTGGCCCCACATCTCAGCTGCATCTGGGCAAACTCTGAGGTATGTGCTGACACCAAGGCCATGGTGGTTTTGAGGCTGCCACACAAAGGTAAGCCAACCTCCAAGAAGGGTTTCCTTCATTAGCTGAGCAGCTGTCGCTGTTACAAAGCAAGAACTTCCTTCAGGGAAGCAGGGATGGATGCTGCAGTCCCTTCAGCTGTCCCACTGCCACTTGCCGCAAGTGAACCAGAGACCCTCAACCTCCAGGGAATGACCTCGAGCCGCTTAAGGCGGAGGAGGTAGGTCCCTGTCCCGCTCTACAGTCCCAGGAGCAGAGGCAGTAACGTGCAGCAGCAAGGCAGAGTGGACAATGCGAACATTTATGTCGCAAATGTTAATTTAAGATGTAAATCTGCTAAAATTTATCTATCCCTCTTCTGATGCCTCAGCTCTCTGTCTCAGAAATAGTGTGGTCCTGCCTCCATTCGGGCTTGCAAGATGCTCAGAGGTCACAATATCAAGGGACATAAAACTGCCTAAAATGGAGAAGTACGTACGGCCTTTCTCCATCTTACGTACAGGCACATGCTCTTCCCATGCAGGATTAGGACCTAAAGTCGCAAAGGAGTGCAACACAGTTAATACTGCACACTGCTTTTCCTGCCTATCTGCTAATTTAGTGACAGACTTGGCAGTGGGTGAGTTCAGCAACTTCAGTGGGCAAGTGTTCCTGCTTTTAAGCTCCAACTGTCATTCATTCGTAGCAGGAATCTCACTTGCCAATTCAGTATAGAACATTAGGACCAAATACAAATTCCAAAATTATGCCAGTTCTCCAGAGATGTGTTGCATTATATAACGACAGATAGTACAGGGTACTTTCCTACCCCATGTTGACAGTCGCAATCAGGCAGAGGCAATGTGGGTGGAAGTGATCATCCCGGGCTGACTCCCCATGAATGAGCAAAGCACTTCCACGTTCTAGAAATAGTATTTGCATTAGTATTCCAGTATGAGAAGCTCTGGTACGCTGGTTTCCCTCCTCTCTTTTCTTTTTTAATAAATGCTCAAAATAAGCTCCAATTCTGCAAGCGCTTAACCACCAAGCATCGCAAACAGCAGCGAGTCCACGCAGGATCACACACATATGAGCGCCAGGTGCCAGAAGGATTTTGTTATAGGCTGCTCTAGGCATCTAGCCCAACAGCGCCCTGAGCCTTGACTGGACTTTCTGGAGATGACTACAAAATAAATGGCACAAAGCACTCGAGACCCAGGCTTTCAAATGGCAAAACTCTCCTTTGAAGTGTACGCTTCTGCACAAGCAACAGTTTTGCCTGTGCATGGGCAGGCAAGCAGGGGAGACAGGAAAGGCACTAGTTAAAAACAATGCAGGTAAAATCTCATTTTCAATCAAATACTTAATTTCAGCCAAACTGTGGTTTTAGTTTGTACTGCTCCAGTACACAGAGATAGCGTTAGCTATTGGTCATTCTGTATCTTTTTAGTATTTGTATATTTTTTTACTTTTAGAAATAATCATGTAACATATCCCCAGCAGTTTGTATCCTAGATTTCAAGCCAACACACTTTAAAATATATGCATTTAAAACCTCTTAAAACTTGGACCTGTCATGCAAATCCAGTCAGATTCTTAATTATAACAGCACCAGCAGCCGCTGTTAGAGTCCAATAGCGGAGCCTGCGTTACCAAAGAGGCACGCAGCAGTTAACGTCTGTCAGCACTCCTGTTACAATCCCCACCTTGAAGAGGTTATAACTTGGGCTGTGTAAATTTGATTGAGCTGAAACTTGGGACTCAAAAGTGTCAGTCCATATAGGGAATTATCTTATGAATAATTGGCTAACCCTTTGCTTGATTCACAGACCTTTATAACATGTTTTTAATGGGTTTTAATGTTTTTTTCTTTTACTGACATCTAGGGTATGAATTTGGTACTTCTAGCTCTTCTGAAGCTCCACACTGAACAGCATACATATAGGTACATAAGTTAAAGCTACAACACCACAGAGGAGTTCATGGGGCATGCAAGCCAACCTTACACACCTATGTGTAGACACAAACAGATGAAGAGAGCATGAAAAACAAATGCCATCGAAATCTACCTCAAAAGAGAGTTCTAAATATGTAAGACAGGGAACATAAATGCCTCAGGTACAGTCATAAAATGTGTCTATTTTGTACATCAGTTACATTGTGATATATTTGAAGGATAACATCTCTCTGACCAAACTGGCACCATCATGCCAAGAAGGGCAGGTGCTCACTGAACCAGCAATCCAAAATGTATTTCTGGCACAATATAGTACCGCGAGTAGGTCAACTCGATCATCTATACGTGCAGCGAGAATAGCTCAGGACAAGAAAATATCTGGGATAGAGCTGGTCACTTTGTTATCTAAGTTAACAGTTTCTCAGACTCTCTTTATCTTCATGGGGGTTTCCCCCCCCAGATGTGTGGAAGCGAGTCCCATGCATGCCTTGGCAGCAGAACAGTCATAACGACTGCGTTTTGAAAGGGATGAGCTATGCGACTTTCAGCATTAAGCGTAAGCTTAAGTATGGCTCTGTGTTACAAGGAATTTTACTGACAATTGTTCTCCATAACATTTTTCACTAGCTGTAAACCTCTGTTTCTCAGAGAGGATTTTTCTCTTGATCACTTCAGGTCACACTGAGCTGAAGCATGCATGGTTGGTTAAGGTGCGGACTTGGAATTTTCTTTAACCCTAGCAGAAAGCTATGGCAAGCGCAGGGTAGAAAGAGGAGCCACAGGACATGAACAGATTCCTCCAGTGGAGCCAGACCCTACAAAGTTTCCATGCCCACCTCACCAAACGCTTACAAAACAGGGACATTATGTTGCGATCCTGAACTCATGAGGACCATCTCTGCTGGTTTCAGGAAAAGTTTCGACTAAGCATCAGGCTCCCTCGCTGCAGGTTTATCATGTGCATATCGTTCTGAAATGAAGTGCTGTGAGAAGTCAGTCTCTCCTCTGTGTACCAGCAAGATCCACTTGGATCTGGATCTCACATCTAACTCCACTGATCTCTCCCTCCGTTTTTGCCATGTAGAAACTGATGACAGCCCAGCCACAGAGAGGTTGGTCCTTTGAGTCACTGCTAAGATCCCAAGTCATCCACTTATTTACTAAGAAACTAACTCCAAGCTTATGAGCAGTAAGGACAGCTGAATGACACAAGTGTCTGTTTTGATTCGTTTCCTGACTTTGGCTGCTAAGTTTGGGGAGTTTCCTGGCTTGTACAAAGCAAAGAATTATGGCCAACTGCCACAGGGAGATACGACCCACCAGAACAGAGGAAGCTGAACTCAAAAGTGATGAGCAAGCTGTATGGATAGGAAAGGCTAAGCCAGGCTCACAGCCCTGCAGGGCCAGATTCTTGGTGAGGTTCAAGCTAGGAACAAATAGCAAATCAGGCTGCCTTCAGCTCTGCAGCAGGTCCCAACACTCTGTAACTTTAAAAATGGACAGGAGTAACCAGTGCCTGACATGAAGGGATGTCAACAGGAAATCTGTTCCCTGCTTCCAGTTCACTGTGACCACAGTTGTTCCCCTGATATATGGCAGGCACTGATCCTAGGAACCACCATTTTTTATATATATATATGTGTGTGTGTGTGTGTGTGCACGCGTGTGTGTGTGTATACACACACATATACATATTTTACATATACATACATAATACATACATAATACATATATATATATCTCACTCCCACAAGTCAAGAGGAATGCATCCCAAGGTTCAAAATAGCTGCACATCCAACAGTGGTCGACTATCACACTTCATGTCCAAAATATCTGTTACTCAGTGAAGAAAGGTGGGAGGGCTGGGCAGACTCTGATTCAGACCATGCAAAATACGTGGGGCAACTACTGATCTTTTAACCAGCAGTTGTTTAGGAACAGGATCTTTGTAGGATCCTAAGGCAAAGCTCTTCACACTTCTGTGCAAGATTAGACCCAAGGGGCTCAAGCTGTCATCAGTCCCTCTGGGGAAGTCTGTAATGCTCTACTCCAAATCTGGCAGCAATGAAAAGGAGGAATTGCAAACACACTGTCTTAAAAAAATAAATCCAGCTATACCTCATTCACCCTTAAAAAATGATTTTGCAGAATGACAAAAATAATTCATTAACCTGAGGCATCAAAGGAAAGTTTCAGCACCAAAGAAGAAGTCATTTCCAATGAGATACTAGTTGTTTTGCTACACAAGATGAGGAAAGATTTAGTTGTACTTCTTGTATGCCAGTGAAAGCAGTACCTCCTAGTTCCTTGCATGCTTGGCTTGAATGACAGGCTAGGACAGGAGTGCAAGAGAAAAGGATTTTCTTCCTCTAGCCCTGCTTGATATATACCCCTACAAGAGCAATCTACTTGGCCTTGGGTACTGCAAAATTCTTCAGCATATATTTATCTGTTGGCGCATCAGCTGTACCTTCATGCTTAAAGTAAGCACACGCTCAAGTGTCCTGTTAGATGAGTGCCTTAACTCTGCGTGCATCTTTTGTAAGTAACTTTTGTTGTGCTGATTTTTAAAGCTTCAACTTTTAGTCACTTAGAATAGCACTTAACTGAACTTTAACAAGTAAAAACATCATCCTCTGTATTAATTCTATGCTGACTTTTAACTTTGACTTTTAGTTTTAGAGAAGAAATGCATGTGCTACATGAAATGTTTTGCATGAGGATCTAGATGGAAAAGAGAGAATTCATTACTGAGATGGTAGAGATCTTTTTCTGAGTTTACAAATAATAACAGTTTTACTGGAGAATTTTTTTCTTTGATATATTTATTCTGTGCAACTCCTTCTTATGTGCAAAATTTCAGTTTAATTGTAAGGCTTACAATAATATTTTAATGCAACTCTCTGTAGTCGGAATAATGTATTATTAGATAGCCCAAAGCTGCACAGAAAGATGCAGTGCTGAGGTGTAGCAGGAGTGCTGGTGAATAATGTGTGATAAGAGCACACTTCTTTGAGCAGTTTGGATAGTTATGCCACCATTTGTTATTGTCAGCACATATAATTTTTATAGTACAATATGAATTCTGACTGCAGTGAAAAGAATGCCTTCTACCACTAGTATGAATAAGATTTCACTCAATTAAAATAACATGCAAGGATATTGTATAGTATTATATAGAAAGCTGATGTGCATAAAGTATGACTGCTGGGGTGGAGGCAGGGAAATTATTGTACTGATGTTATTGTGAGTTTCAGTGAGATTCAGTGAGGACTGTTGCCCAGCATTAAAAAAAAAAAAAAAAGGAAATTAAATACAGAAATCAGAAATACTAACAATGTTTAATATTACCATATTGAAATTAATATGTTCACAATTTAGGCTGTAATGTTCCCTCTCGTATCAAGTTTCACAGTATCTGTGTACCTAAAGAGAGAGGGAGATGTAAAGATCTAGACAGACCCATGGACTATCTATGCTGAAATACACCCGCGCTCAGATGCTACAGCAGTAGGTGCTACAGAAAACCCGGGGCTGAACGCAAGCCATTTCATACCGTTGGTCTCTAAACGTTACTCCCTGCTGGAGTCAGCGAGAAGTTTTGTCTCCATGTGGATGGAGCGGTGCGGTCCAACACAAGCGCCCACCCTTAAACGCCCCCCCCGCTGCTGCCCTGCGCACGGAGATACGGACGGCGCCTCGGCGCAGATGGGGTGAGCTACAGACCTGATAGCACCACAGTCACACTACTGCCCAGAACTGAAGATGTTCGAAGGTATGGGGCAATGGATGCAGTAGCGACGGTTCCTACAAAGAAGGCCAAAAGTGTCTGAGAGCAGAGGTGTCTCTTAGACAGAGACCGCTGTATTCAGACCCAATAAAAATGAAACTATTCTCTATTGAGACCTAATTAGCTTTTATATTCAAAGCCGTACTGCACATTTGTACATTGCTTATGAGTGAGACTAAAAAATATATGTACCATGACACTATACTTTTAAAGTGTCTATTGAATGCTTTTCCCATTCTCCAAGGATTGCCTCCTCCTTAGACGTATGCATTCAGTGAATATGACGAGGCTAATTATTTTTCCCTGAAACGATCAGTGCTTTTCTCTCGCGGTTTTCCCAGGACCACGGACCTCGCATCTCCAGCCCTGGAACTTTAAAAAAAA